AAAAGAAGAAAGCTAATCTACAAATCTATCATACCTAATTTTTCATTTCAACTTTTTAACATTTAACTTTTTAACAGTCATTGTAACTTTTAAACATTTTCCACTTTCAAAAAAAAAAAAATGAAATGATATGAATAATCAGAATAAAGTATACTTTCCTACTTTTTTTTTCCTCACCAAAAACGAAACAAAATAAAATTTTCAAAAAAAAAAAAAATTTTTTTTATTTTTCCGTTTCCTTCCCTTTGTAAACATTAATTGGAAAGAGAAATAAATGCAGAAAATGATCAAATTCAAAAAATAATTGATGAAATAATCTTTGAAATTTCCAGTACCTTAGTGAAATTTAAAAAAAATGTTTAAAATAAATTATAAATTTGATCCAAGATTTTTGTTCGATAAAATTCCAAAAATGTTATATTTGCTTCAGTTTTATTAATGTTAGAAAAATGAAAAAAAATGTTGTGCTAAGAAAAAGAGAAAATTTTTTAAATTCAAATTATAGCACTTAAATTATCATATAATATGAAGGAATTTTTAGGATAATTTCGCAATGAATAACTTGAATACAATAATTTGAAAAAGCTAGAAAAACCGGATTTTCACTTTCCGGAGCTTGTTCTCGTCATATGTTCAAATATAATTATAATCTATAATTTATTTATACAATTTATAATCATCCATGATTTGTTTTCTTATTATTTTCAAATGATATTGCTTGAACAGGATTGTTTTTTTTTTTTTTTTTTTTAAATCAAAATGTTGGTTTTAATTCGTGCAAGATGTTAAATAAGAGATAATGAGAAAATGTTTTAAAAAATGAAATGAAAATTTTCATAAAACTTGTAACTTTTATGGAAATTTTTAACAAAATTCTAAATAAAATGCAATGAATTTTTTATACATAACCTATATAACTGATAAAATAATGATAAACTAATTTATGTATAATCAATGATACGAATAGAGTTACTATTGCTAATTATCCAAGTTTGTAAATTTCAATTAATATTTAGTGATTGGATTATTTCCTAATTTCAGGTTTTTTTTTAAATTAATTGATAAGTTTATTGCAAAAAATTTGAGCAATTTTGAATCAGAATTATTCAATTTCAGGACAATTTTTTAAAACTTTTTTCTTAATTTTAATTTATTTTCCCTTTTCAAGCTTTAACATATATTTAAAATTAGATGCTTACTCATTTCATTAGGAAATTTGAATAGCTTTAAACTAGCATTATTGAATTTTCAAAACAACTTCTAAAAATTTACTTTTCCGTTTTAAGCCCAAAAATATGCTTGGAATTAGCTAACTGCTTATTTTACTGGAAATTTTAAGCACTCCACTGTTTTTCAATCTCAATGAAACCTTTCAAACTTCTGATTTATTTTGCTTTGTTTGACTTTTTTTTTTTCTTCCAAAGTTTAACAGCAAAATTGGAAATGCATTTATTTTTGAAAATTTAACATAGGGAAAAAAAACAAAAAGGAAGAAATCCTGTGGGACTATCATTTTTGAATTACTTTTAAAAAAAAAAAAGAAAATAAACTGAATTGAAATTGAAAATATGCGGGCAAAAATTTTCCAAAATTATTGCAGAAAATTTACAGTTTATTTTTAATTAATTAAATAAACCATTTTTTGAAAAATTTAAAAACTCATCCAATCATACTTATTTATTTTTTGAAATTTTAAACAAAAGAGATTATGAAGAGAAACCGGTAAGTATGAAAAAATTTCATTTTATTTAACAATTTTTTTATTGCAATTTTAGCTTCCACAAACAAATCTGTTTGTTTCAAAAAAACAGTAAAATATTTTCCGGAAAAAGCAATGAAAAAAAATAAAATAATAATTGTTGTAGCAATTAAAAAAAAAATTTTTTTTTTTTTGGGATAAAATGTTAACAAATTATAAAATTTTTGATTTTTGATCTTTGCAAATTTGTTTTTATTTTTCGTGATTTAAACTTAAAAATAAATGCACAAATAAATGATAAATGCATTTTCATTGATAATATTGAGGTTGTTAATTGAAAGATTAATTAATGGAAATAATTTTTGAATGAGCAATTTTTGTTTTTTTGATGGAAAAAAAACTTTTAAGCCCATTAAACATGCTAGAAAATTTATTTCTTAGCAGAAAAAATTTTTATATGCAAAAGATTTTGAGCGATAAATAAATGCGTTGATAATTGAAATAGGATAATGTTTTATAGCTGTAAACATTTCGAATTGTATTTTTAGGTTGCAGGAATATTGATAATTAATTTAAAATAGAATTTTTATATGCGCAGTAATTAGGAAAACGGAAATTATCATAATTAAAATCATTCGTAAATTACTGTTAGTGATAAAAAAAAAGTATTAATAAGTATGTATGGATCGGAAAAAATGGTTTAGATTATTTACAAGAATATTATTTAACTATTCATAAATATATTTTAGAGGTCAAAGTTTGCTAAATTATAAATTTATGCATAAATTATAGGAAAATAGCAAACTGGAAATAGGAAATGAATAATGATAGATTATCAAAATTTTTGAAGTTTCTGTTTGTTTCTTTTTTCGACATCTATTCCTCATAAAATATGTATTTTACAATATAATGCGTTTTTTTTTCGATTTTACACCTATTTATTGAAAATTAAAAAAACAATTAATTTCTTTTTTTTCAATTATTTCAAACTATTTGAAAATTCTGGAAGAAATGATTCCGATTGATATTTCTTTTCTTTTACTTTTTTTTTTTTAAATCTTAAACGCAAAGGGAAAAGATTAGCTAAAAGTTATCAAATCATTCGAAAAATTTTTGTCATTTCAACATTGATAGATTAATTATCAAAAAAAGTAGAAACAAAATTAAATTGAAAAGTGCTCAATCTTTTTATGTTTCCTTTTTTTTCTCATTTTACAAAAGTAATTATTTACTTTTAATTTCTTGAAAGTAATTATTTACCTTTGGTCAATAAAACAAAATGTCATTGTAGAATACATAATCCAAAAAGATTTGGAAAAGAAATTGAAATGTAGAATAGGTTTCAATGACTACCATATGGTTATTATTCAAAAATAACACCATCCTTTATTTGAGCAAATAAAATGATAATAGTATAGCAAAAGAAAGAAAAAAAAAGAGAGAAGAAATAAAGCGACAAATAAATAAAATAATCGAAAAATTTTGGAAACAGAAAAAAAAAAAAGAAAATGAAAAATTATGAGAAAGTACGAATAAAATTTTTATTTAAATTGTTTACTTTATTTTTGCACTTTAACATTTTCTTTCTTTCATTTCCCTGTTTTCAGGGAAGTTTTATTTACTTTACAAAGTATTATTTCAAACTTTTTGAATTTATGAAAAATAAAAAAAAAAACAAAAGTGTAGCAAAATGTTTGAGAAGGGATTGTAGGTATGAATCATTGAAATTTGAAGCAGAAAATTATTTAAATTTTACTAAATTACGACAAAATTGAAAACGCTTATACGTATACTGTAGGTGATGTACATGTGTGTACTATAAGTCAAGCATAAGGGTACAGTAAATTATATTGGCATTGTAACTTATGTGGACACTGTTAATCATATGGATATTGTAATTCCTATGGACAGTATGAATTATGTGTATACTGTAAATTAAGTATATCATACTGTGATTTCCTTATCACATTAGAAAATAGCAGAAAGAAAAAATTACTGGTTAAATTAAAGATTTTCAGGAATTAAAAAAAAACATTGCATAATACTTCTTTATCATTTTATTCTTATCAAGCAATATTTCTCCTCTCGATGATTGTATTCATTTGATACTATTTATCCAATGTGATAAAATTTCTAGGAAATCATATTAAGAATTTTAGAATGATAAAATTTCATACCTTATTTCATTTCTAATTACATTTAAATAGAATGAATTTTGTATGAAATGCAACAAACAACGCTTATTGTAATCAAATTTAATGCAAAAAATTTTTCAATAATCAATAAACCCGTTTATATATATATATATGTAAGTGGGAATTAATTATAATTTTGTTAGGAATTAAACATAAATTACTGTTATAACTG